GCCTGAAAAATGTGTATTGTTGTCTGTGTCCCCTCTGGGAGGACTGGCCCTCTTTATTATTACTGGTGATCATTGTCCATGACGGAAAGTGATGGGAGAACCGAAACTTCGTGTTGTCCCTAGAGGGGAAATCTTCCAATGTGGGGAACCTGTTCTGGTGACAACTGTCGAAAAGGAATTTACCTCACTTTGGATGGATGTATTTCTGCTTCCTGTGTTGTGTTAATAGAACAGGAAGTGAAGAGAAATCTCATGGAAGGAAGACAAGGGGATTTTTTTTTTTCCATGTCGCATAACAAGAAAATGTGCAAAATTATCTAAACTAACACCAGTCAAAACAGAAAATAACACACCTGTTTATGTCCTATTATTGTCTGTAGACTCCTTAGAAAATAAAATAATTTTTGTACAACAATTTTGCCCCCAATTTTTTTCTTCTCCCACTTTCTCCCCGCAGGCTTATGTATATTTCTGAATTTGGTGCACATGTCTTCCCACACAGCCACGTCATCCATCCACAGATCCCATCACAGGTCCCATCAGCCACCGCGGCAGTGGTCCCCAATGGCATACAAATGCGGTGACATCTCAACACTTGTAATCCATTGACGCTTCCTTCCGTCCATGGTACCGGATTTGGGATTTGTCCATGTTGGCACGGACATGGACAGATGGAAGAGCCTGCAGGAGGCAGAGCATTGCACCAACGATGTACTGATTGCAGTTGCAGTGCTTTTCTGGCTCTTATGCAAAAAATAAATGCACATTTATGAAGAAGCGTGCCCCCCCCTCCTTTTTTTTTAAGGTGGAATTTCCTCCTTTAAGTAATGAAAAAGTTATCACTAAATAAACAGGCCCATAGCTGCTCCTTGAAAGACGTGAGTCATACGTGACCTGGCGTTTCAGGACGGAACACCCGCCCGTCTCCCGCCGCTTCGCATCCTTTAACATCGCAAACAACACCAGAATTCACTCCAAACAACCCGTCCTCAGCGGCGGAGGAGAATTGTGCCGCGGGCGACGTCCGTCATTTCCTCCCACGTTTCATCTGAGCCCGCTGTGTTCCCAAATAAGCCCTCGTGCCGCTCAGAACTTGTGTTGCAGCAGACTGCCTAGTCTCTGGAATGGATACATGGTGTCTTTGTGAAGATTCACAACCTGAGCCAGCACTACAGGAAGAGGCCCCGAGCTGAAAAGGGAAGTTCTCACCAAGCATGAGAAGACATGAGGATTTAATAGGAAGAGCAGCAAAGAGAAGGGAAACTACCATGGATTACAGTAAGGTGCACATTACAGTATTGTTTTATGTTAAAAAATCTGAGGGTTTAATGTCACTTTAATGGAGATATTTATAATCTGTGTCTTTTTATCACATCTGACTTTATGGAAGAGACGCGCTCAGTAGCACCTCCGATTCACAATTTGCGCGTCTCGCACTGTAACAACGCGTAACACCTGTTACCAAGGGGAAAGCCCACGCGTTTCCACAACACGCATTCAATATCTTTTCATCTATTTTAGTGTTAGAATCACCTTTTGGATTGTTGAGAGAATCCGTATTCTTAGTGTGTCTTTGTTACTGTTACCTGAAAGTACCTCGCGATGCCGTCTTCAAATGTCCTCGTGTTTTCTATGATAGAAACATATTATTGAGTTTGAAAAGCAACAAAACATCTCAACATCAAAGTGTATGGAAAGCCAAAACTTTGATGGAGGGTGTTGTTTAAAGTGGGGAAGTGTTAAAACCCCTTTGAGTTGGAGTTTAGGTCTTGGCAGGCAGCAGGCAAGAGAACAGTCATGTCTAGGCGTTGGTCACGGCAGGTAGAAGGCAAGACAGTCCAGGCAGAGGTCATGGCATGCAAGAGAGTAGTCCGGTCCAGGCAGAGGTCATGGCATGCAAGAGAGTAGTCCGGTCCAGGCAGAGGTTATTGCATGCAAGACAGTTGTCAGGTTCAGGCAAAGATCATGGCATGCAAGAGAGTAGTCCGGTCCAGGCAAAGGTCATGGCAGGCAGCAAGCAAGAGAATAGTCAGGCCTAGGCATTGATTATGGCATCAAGCAGACTAAACCTTTCCGGGAGACATTTTTGATTTTTTTTTTCTGACTGACGGCGGGCCGATGTCAGGAAAAAAAAAAGAGCAGAGAAAGCGCTTCCCTCCTGGGTGGCCGGGAGCCGCTAGGCGACCCCTGGCAAATCGTCGTTCGACCCCCGACGTGGTCGTGACCCCCAGGTTGAGAACCGCTGCTCTACCTGCTGAGCCACTCTGAAACGTGTAATCCTCAGGTAAACCTGGTTTCTGCTGAACTCTGAACTCCTAGCTCCTCCCTTGACCTATTTTAGTCACGCCTCTGCACTTCCTGTTTGCCAGATTATTGTGCTCCTGCCAATATCTTCCTTCCTGCTGCCTCTGTGATACAATCTTCTCATACTGCTACCCGTGTACCGACCTTTGGCTGCTGATTCACCCACTACTCTCATCGTCTCATGCTTCATACCTGATACCTTTTGGGTACTGACCTCGGCTTGATCTCTGACTACGCTTCTGCCTGCTCCTATACTACTACTGCCAGCTTGTGTACCGAACCGGCCTGTTATACCGCGAATTTGCCTGCTGGACTCCGAGCCTGATCCCGGATCGTGACAGTCACGCTCTTTCATGAAGCGCCATTTAAAAGATTTAGGATTTGCATTAATTGTATCTTTATTTTTAAAGATGAGATATTTTTGCATTTGATTGGCGAGCATCCAGCTGGGGCTCCCGCATGAGAGATTGGAAGGATAATTCAGCGGGGTTGTCGGCGTTCTCAGGTTGTGTCAATGACAGGTTTTGTACGTCAATCAGAGCAGCTCAGACAGCAAAACTGCGACTCCTACAAATGAGGAATAATTGCCGTCACCTGGATATATTACGGGCGCACTTATTCCTGATTGAGCGTCACTCAGCCACAATCTAATCCTCGGCTTCATTAGAGGGCCAGAGTCTCTCCGCAGCATGAGATATGTAGCAGGTATTCCTCGGGGCTGCGGAGGGTTTGCGGTGCTTTATTATGTGCTGCTGGAAAGTGCTGAGTCCTCCGACGTCCATTCTTATGGGGGCGGCTGTCTAAGTGCCGCGTTTTGCCGCGGGAGGGTGATCCATCATTTCACCCGTTCCCTAAGTAAAACATGGAGACTCGTTCATTAAAGTGAACCCGTCATTTTCAGGTTAGGTACATATATGCGGATTAACACTTCCAGGTATGTATTACCATCACAGTACTCCCCCTGACCATGCCTTCAGTTGGTTTTCTCTCCAGAAGGATGGAGCCATCTTTGCTCAGGCATCATCCAGGGTCACCATCTACTTCCTGGACTGAGATGCCGGCTCAGAGATGACACAATCATGTAAATCCTGATGTCTCACACGGATCATCCCCTGCTGCAGCCTCTCACCTTGTGACTGGCTACAAAGGTACAAAGCTGCAGTCTGATCACTGGGGGATGGGAGACTGAGGAAATGCTTCCTCCATGCTACACAATGTACAGACTGATCACTGGGGGATGGGAGACTGAGGAAATGCTTCCCCCATGCTACACAATGTACAGACTGATCACTGGGGGGAGGGGAGACTGAGAAAATGCTTCTTCCTGCCTGCAGAAGACCGATCACTGGGGGGAGGGTAGACTGAGGAAATGCTTCTTCCTGCCTGCAGCAGTCTGATCACTGGGGTGAGGGGAGACTGAGGAAATGCTTCCTCCTGCCTGCAGCAGACTGATCACTGGGGGTGAGGGAAGACTGAGGAAATATTTCCTCCTGCCTTCAGCAAAAGTATCAATGTTATCTTCTGTGAACTGCCAATCTTCTGGAGATCGCATAGAGATGAAAGGAAGGAGACATATTTGAGGGCTGCGTGACAATTAGTAAACTATATGTAAGATTGTAGTCCATCCCGGGGATGGGGGGGGCGGAGCTTGGAGCGGTGACTACTTTACAACACACACAGGGACCATGGAGAACAGACGTAGCCCCCCCCTCCAGAAGGAAGGACAGTGTCAGAGATGATTGGAGGATCTCCAGCCGAGTGATACACAAATAAGAGACATTGTTGCTCAGAGTTCAGGGACTGGAATGTATTTTTAGGATGTAACTGCTGAGTTTTGTGTCACTTTAAACTGAGTGAATAGACTGCAATTTATTTAGCTAAACATGTAAAAGAGATCAGCTGACGTCCACGATCTTATCAATGTGTGTTAACATGTTAAAACCCCTTTATCATATTTAAACTTTGTGATTATTTGTACACAGGGGCGACTTTGTATCCTCATTACATACTCAACCTCTGCTTCCTTCCCTGCAATGGTGACACTCGGGTGCACGCCGCACCCTCCGCACCCCCCATGTGACGCCACTGTACACAGGAGCAGCTTTGTATCCTCATTACATACTCAACCTCTGCTTCCTTCCCTGCAATGGTGACACCCGGGTGCACGCCGCACCCTCCGCACCCCCATTGCGATGCCACTGTACACAGGGGCAGCTTTGTATCCTCATTACATACTCAACCTCAGCTTCCTTCCCTGCAATGGTGACACTTGGGTGCGCGCCACACCCTCCGCACCCCCCTTGTGACGCCACTGTACACAGGGGCAGCTTTGTATCATCATTACATACTCAACCTCTGCTTCCTTCACTGCAATGCTAAGCAATGGTAGTGCCTTACTTCTCCTTCCAATGTTGTAAGTCTGACTTGCATAGATGCCAACTGCCCCCGATTTGCTGGGACAGTCCATTTTGAACCTCAGTCCCGATGATGATGATGATGCGTCCAGATCGATGTGCTGCAATTACAGTGTCATCCTAATTTGAGTTACTGCAACTCAATACGATAGTTATTGTGGTGATCAGGGGCTGCAGGTGGGCAGTCCCGGTATAAGTAGAGTTGGGGTTTGGATGGGTCACTCTGGTAAGTGGGTCTGAGCTATAACTAGAGAACACATAACATCTTGTGCTTGGTTCTTCATGGTGTTGGAGTATCGCCTCACAAGGATGCGGCTCAGGCTGAGTGTATTCAAGGTTGCCCAGATCGTGTGGAGGCGCAGCGGTTGCTATGGTTTTGTCAGTGACAAAAATATTATCTATCCTTGGCTTCTGCGGCACGCACGTTACCGGAAGAATCCACTGTCCATTATGTACTATAGATGTAGGCGGGGAAGCTGACTTGATAAACAGAGGCTGATGAAAGCAGTTTTCAAGTTCATCGGCAAGAATGCCAATCGTGGTTGAAATTCCAACAGAGGGAAACAGACGAGAGGGTGCAATGGAAGATATTCTGGTGTAGAGACGGTCTGCCAACCCAATCTAAAGTGGTCCAGTTATACATTGCTGTATCTTGAGATATAGATATATATATTGTCATTTGTACATGTGTTTTGCCTGCATTGGAATCGAACACAATGGACCTGTTACAGTTTTCTACAGAACTCTATGGCTCTGCTAGGGTGCTCTTCCAAAGAGTTTATAGTGTGTTTCTTAGGTATTGTAGATATTTATAGGAATTAAGCATTGTGTAGACTGGTTACAGATGAAACTTGTACATCAACTTTTTCTATCTCTTTCAAAGACAAGATATATTGCCCAAAAATATTTTTCCTAAGATAGTCTCTACTTTGCCACCTCTATTGGTTTTTACTCTCTCCCCACTTTATTACTCCTTCCTCTGCTCTCAACCGTCCTCCTGTTGAGCTGTCTGCTCTCCCCTCACTGTCCTTCTCCTCCTTTTGCTCTCTACACTATCCCTGTTCTTGCTGTCCTCCTTCTACTGCTCTCTACTCTTCCACTGCTTCCCTTCTCCTCCCACTGCTGTCTCCCCACTTCCACTTTCTCTTGTTGCTCCTCCACTTTCTTCCTCTGCTCTCAACCCTCCCTCTGTTTTCCTTTTCCTGCTCCTGTCTACTCTCTCCCTCTCTTTGCTGTCCTCCTCCTTTCTCTCTCTACTCTCTCCCTCTCTCTGCTGTTCTCCTCCTTTCCCTGTCCTTCTTCTCCTGCTAGTCTTAACCATTGCTCACCTGTTCTCCTGCTGTGATCTTCTCTCTCTCCCTGTCCTCCTCTTTCCAAAGCTCCTTATGCTCTCCCTACTTTCCTTCTCCTCTTGTCGCTCTCTATTATCTCCCTGCTTTCTTTTAACTCTTCCCTGTAGGCCTTTGTTTGCTCTATCATTTCCTCTGCTGTCCTCCTTTTCTCACTGTCCTTTAATGTCTTCCACTTGCCTTCTCCTCTCACTGCTCTTTGATTTCCTCTGCTGTCCTTCTCCTCTCACTGCTCTTTGATTTCCTCTGCTGTCCTTCTCCTCTCACTGCTCTTTGATTTCCTCTGCTGTCCTTCTCCTCTCACTGCTCTTTAATATCATCTGCTGTTCTCTTCCTCTCACTGCTCTTTAATATCATCTGCTGTTCTCTTTTCAAGGTTGCCCAGATCGTGTGGAGGCGCAGCGGTTGCTATGGTTTTGTCAGTGACAAAAATATTATCTATCCTTGGCTTCTGCGGCACGCACGTTACCGGAAGAATCCACTGTCCATTATGTACTATAGATGTAGGCGGGGAAGCTGACTTGATAAACAGAGGCTGATGAAAGCAGTTTTCAAGTTCATCGGCAAGAATGCCAATCGTGGTTGAAATTCCAACAGAGGGAAACAGACGAGAGGGTGCAATGGAAGATATTCTGGTGTAGAGACGGTCTGCCAACCCAATCTAAAGTGGTCCAGTTATACATTGCTGTATCTTGAGATATAGATATATATATTGTCATTTGTACATGTGTTTTGCCTGCATTGGAATCGAACACAATGGACCTGTTACAGTTTTCTACAGAACTCTATGGCTCTGCTAGGGTGCTCTTCCAAAGAGTTTATAGTGTGTTTCTTAGGTATTGTAGATATTTATAGGAATTAAGCATTGTGTAGACTGGTTACAGATGAAACTTGTACATCAACTTTTTCTATCTCTTTCAAAGACAAGATATATTGCCCAAAAATATTTTTCCTAAGATAGTCTCTACTTTGCCACCTCTATTGGTTTTTACTCTCTCCCCACTTTATTACTCCTTCCTCTGCTCTCAACCGTCCTCCTGTTGAGCTGTCTGCTCTCCCCTCACTGTCCTTCTCCTCCTTTTGCTCTCTACACTATCCCTGTTCTTGCTGTCCTCCTTCTACTGCTCTCTACTCTTCCACTGCTTCCCTTCTCCTCCCACTGCTGTCTCCCCACTTCCACTTTCTCTTGTTGCTCCTCCACTTTCTTCCTCTGCTCTCAACCCTCCCTCTGTTTTCCTTTTCCTGCTCCTGTCTACTCTCTCCCTCTCTTTGCTGTCCTCCTCCTTTCTCTCTCTACTCTCTCCCTCTCTCTGCTGTTCTCCTCCTTTCCCTGTCCTTCTTCTCCTGCTAGTCTTAACCATTGCTCACCTGTTCTCCTGCTGTGATCTTCTCTCTCTCCCTGTCCTCCTCTTTCCAAAGCTCCTTATGCTCTCCCTACTTTCCTTCTCCTCTTGTCGCTCTCTATTATCTCCCTGCTTTCTTTTAACTCTTCCCTGTAGGCCTTTGTTTGCTCTATCATTTCCTCTGCTGTCCTCCTTTTCTCACTGTCCTTTAATGTCTTCCACTTGCCTTCTCCTCTCACTGCTCTTTGATTTCCTCTGCTGTCCTTCTCCTCTCACTGCTCTTTGATTTCCTCTGCTGTCCTTCTCCTCTCACTGCTCTTTGATTTCCTCTGCTGTCCTTCTCCTCTCACTGCTCTTTGATTTCCTCTGCTGTCCTTCTCCTCTCACTGCTCTTTAATATCATCTGCTGTCCTTCTCCTCTCACTGCTCTTTGATTTCCTCTGCTGTCCTTCTCCTCT